CTGATTGGTTCTGTACCTATTGCAACACACATTTCTGCTATACTTCTAGCAATCGTAGCAATGCTGCAATGATATGTTTATATTTCATGCTAATTTTTACTAAAAGCAACGTGCATATATTTTGATTCCAAATTCAGTTTGAAATTCTGTTTGTAATTGGCATTGTTCGCACTTACAGTGTTTGTCTGCGTCTTTCAATATTAATTTTGGCGGTATCATCACCTGTTGTTGGGCTTTTAAAGCAGGGATTTGTGAAGGAACACAAGTAACTCTGAAGAAAAGGCATTATTCCGGCGGACGGAAAAGCCTTGGCATCATAATGACCTGAAATTGTCACTTTACAGGTGAGAGATGTGAAGGATTTACATTACTAATGTAAGGGATGGTATAGAGCAATTTTAATAAGAAATGACTAACGACAGGTATTTCAAATTTAGTTCCAAATAAGGTGTTTTGGCTAGGAATTACTGTTTGCGCTAAATTAATATTGGCGTTTACATTTCTAATTAAATTAGCTGAGTAAAAAAGAATCAGATTTTGATATATGTGCAAAATATTTAATTATCCAAGTGATTTGCCCGAAAATACAATAACTTACATGTTGAATATGTTTCCGTGAAATTCCTCGCTCTCACTAATGCAAGAATACCAAATAGAAGAATTGGGAGTAATAATTCAAGAGCCAACCAGGTCTAAATTTTCAGTTCCAAAAACCCCTTTTTTAGATTTTTCCCATTTTGTGATTTAGTTTGGAAATTAAGTTTCAAAGACTCAAAACTTTTGATATTTTGAAAACAGAGAGATTTTATAAATGCACTTTTTATTCACCATTCACAAAACAGAAGAACAAAGTCTCCAGAGTTTCGAAGAGATACTTTAAAAAATTTAGTATTATTGTTCCTTTAAAGGACACTTTCAAGTTTTATTTTTATAATATTAGAAACAAGTTGATTGAGTTCTGTATGAAACTTTGATTATTTCTTTGGTCCTTTAATTTAATTACTGGAAAGGTGGAATTGCAAACTTTTTGTCTCTTTTTGATTTGTATACTTTTCCACATCAACAACATTAATTGTTTCCACACTGGCAGCATTTCATAAAAATCTGAAAAAGTTAAAATTTGAATAACTATCAGCATTGTATTATAAAATAAATCTTTATGAAAAGTATTAAAACCATTTGTTTTTGTACAATTAGTAACTAAAAAGTTTTGAAATAAAAATCCTTTAAAATATGTAAGAAATATTCTTTTTTTACAAGCATTATTTGACTATATTTGTTCTGTTTACTTTCATTGATCACTTTTTCTTCCCATGCATTTCTGTGGCATTTTACAATGACAGATGGACTTGCATAGTTACAGTATACGCATGACACGCATACCTCAATTTAAGAGTATTCAATAAATAATTCATGCATTCATTCTATTATTTCTTGTAAAAAACATGAATGAGTTATAAAAAAATTTTGTTGTAACTTTTTTTGGCTCTTTGATTTGAAACAAAAAAATTTTTCAAAAATGAAATTTACGTAGTGACTAATTAGACATAACAGAAATAAAAAAACTGGGAAAATAAGACATCCTCTGGATGAATTCATCGCATGTATATTCACGAAGTGACAAACAGTGATGACTAAGTAAGTGAATATGGAAAAAGTCCTCTTCCTTTTCAGAAATATAACATTCCTGGACAGAAAGACTAGACGAAATAGTGATGTGAATCTTGCTTTAACCTCAGCTATAACTGAGATCAAAATATGAGAAAGGTTAGTTTTAATTCAAAATTCAATCAGTTCGCATATATATATATATATATATATATAATTTAAAAAAAAAAAAAAAAAAACTATATAAAATTTCTTATTATAGATAATATATTATATAGTTTAAAAAAAATTTTTTTTATTAAATTAAAAAAAAAAAAATTTGTTATAAAAAAATTTTAGTCAAATTGGGAAGACTAACTTCTGTTTGATTTAAATTTAAATATAACGGTGTAACTATTCCATAGTGAACAGCATAGAAAACTTTAAATAATAAAAAACAAAGAAAAGACAAAGGGATAGACAAAGCGACAAAGTTAAATTAGAACAGAATTTGTAAATGAAAACAAATGTGACGCGGAAACTTGCTCAGTTACTAAATTAAAAAATTAGTGATAAGAAGGTATCCATTTGAAAAACGTACGACATGGAGAAACAGTCGACGATGAAAATTCTTCGTGTATGACTTTAAAATGAAAAAAATTCGTCAAAAAATTTTTGAGATTAATTTATTCACGGAAATAACAATAGATGGAAGGAAGTATGACAGCCATAGTCAAAAAATTTAATTGATATGCAAATTGCAGAATGCATCACAGTGCCTAGTGAGATAATTTGTCCGGAATATGGCTGTTTTTATTAAATAAAACTATGAGTGCTTGAAATGACACAAAGACCAATAGAAATTATCGATAAAAAGCTAAAAAATTTCCAATAATGGCAAACAAATGGAACGTAGAAATTTCTGCAAAAATTTCAGTCGCAAAAAAAAGGAACATTTTTTTAATTCTAAAAGAAGAAATAAAAATATACTTTTGTTTCCGTTCATTAATCTTTTTAGTTTTTAATTTGCTCCAGGGTAAGCAACAACATAAATGGTGGGGAGAGAATAGGCTGGCCTCTATGACATATAGAGAAAGCCAGAAGATGGACAGGATGGCAATCTTCAAAAGAAAATGAAATAAGTTTGTTAAATGTCGATTCTAGATCTTTAAAACTGAAATTCTTCAACAGGTCACTCATGACGAGCGGTGACTACTTAATTGATTAATAGTGAAATACACCAATAATTATGTTATGATAAGTTTATTGAATTTCAAGAATACTGAAGGGTTGATTGAAATTATTTGAATTAATGTATATTCATGTTTTAAAGAGGGAGGAAAGAAAGCTGCAAATTTTGCATTAATTTGCATTAGCATAAAAAAGGCGAAAAAAAAATTGAAATTAGATGAAAACAAGCATCAATCATGTTGTGACAACTTATCGAGCACAAATTTCTCATTTCAATGATTTAATGGTATCAACACGTACCAGCAATCCGCTCTCTGTCCTTGTTTTTCTCCTTGTCGGAAAAACAAAATAGTTTTATTGCATAAAATATGTCTGAATAATGAAATTATTTTACATTATACTGATTTGTATACAAAGAAATACTCAGTCAAATGATTCATCGCAGAAATAAGCACAAGACGGATGCTTCGATGTTTAATTAATGAATCATTCATTAAATTCTCATATTTGTTTTCGACAATCAGCATTGTCTTCAGTGATTAAGCCACGTAAACCACGTCTAGCTCTGTTTCTGCACTTCTCTTATTCATTCATGCTTATATCACTACAATGCTCTTTCTGTAAATCACTACTACAAGGCTCATTTTTCAACAAACAGCACTCTTCTGTTCCATTTATCCACAACAACCATCAAATTCTAAGTCAGTCTTCAAAAGACTTTAATAGCGACGAGCAAGAGCAATCTAGCAGTCTGCTCTAATCGTAGTGTTCTCTGATAACTAACTGCCTTATAACGTCAATCAATAAAACTTACTAATATATTTGTTAGGCAAAAATTTCTGTATGTTGAATCAATAAAACATCATCCACACCTTATCATATCATGTAAATTATTAATGCATACACCAAATCAATAATAATTTGTATATTTAAAATCTGTCTTTAACTAAAGAAAACAAATGGACAGTTGGTACGGAATAGAGTACACACCGTAAAGGCAACATAAAATAACAAGTTATTCTGATCGCTGGCATCCTTCCAGTCATTCCCTATTTTTAGTCATCCTTTTTATAATTTACCCATCCATTTTAAACATTTTCAAACAGTAAGTAGTGAAGTTTTTTTTTAATTTTTTTTTCTTTAAATTCTTCTTTTCAGATTTTACAGTTCCCTTATAGTCTATAATTTTTGCATTTTTAATCCCGAAAATAATAATGCTAATGGTAACAAATGAAAAGTTAATGAAGAAAAAAAAATAAATGACAGAATGATATAAAGATAAAATGGTAAGATGATGTTGCTCGGTGCAAGATATTTACATAGCAACCCTTTGATCCTAACTCTTTTCAAGAAATGCAAAGAACATAAACACTCTTTGCTCTTTTATGTGGCGTATCTAAATAGGCCGAAATGCTTTTCATTCGATAATTGTTAAGACAAGAAAACTTTCATTTAAGAAGAATGCTCAGCACAAAATGACACAGACAACGTCACTCGCCCGTCTCATTCAATAAGACAAATTTCATATCGCGACCAAACATTGCAAAAACAATGGTTTGACGTGGTTCGGTAGACCATTGCTTTCTTTTAGGTGGCTGTTGGTATGGGGCACAGTTGCGTTTTGGGCGTTCGTACGAAGTCATGTCTCCGGTGGTTAAAAAATGAAATATATTATCTAAATAATTGGGGAGAACGCTACTAATCAGAAGAGGCAGATAATGCGTTATAATGGTGGAACTGTTTAATATTTGTTTGGCTTTGTTAATGGGACAGAATGGACGGTACCATTCGTCGTGATTTCCCAGTCGTTTAATCCATCTGGTGGTTAGGCATTTTCTGATATGAATTGTTTAGTCGATGAGGTAAAATAGGTGGCGCTCTTTTCTGGTTTTGGTTGGGAGTTCTAGGCATTACCAAACTAAATGCGTTTTCTTCGAGGTTCTTTATCCATCCAGTTATGTAGACTTTTCAATTTAGACGTTGTGAAGGATGATGTGAAGTAATGTGCTTTAGACAATATCTCAAAAATTTATAATAGTTAATTTCTGCACTAGTAAAAGAATAGTGATCAGATATAACAATGCAATGAAATGGTTTTTGTGGACTTTCTCAGCTACTTTTTACTCTTGCTATGGTAGTTTGTATCACAGGTTAAAAAATCAAAATTAAATTTTTTCTTTAGCTGCACACTTTATTGTTGTGTATACTACTAGATAGCAGTCATGTCGCAAACAGATGAAGCTGCAGCTGCAGAGCTGAAAAAAAAACGTACCTTCAAGAAATTCACATATCGTGGAGTCGATTTGGACCAGCTGTTGGATTTGAATCGGTTTGTAATAAGTACAGTTTCTTCGATTCAGATTCAATCATCATCAAAAATCGTAGCTTAATGCTGAAAATTATCTCGTTCAGTAGACAGGATACCAATTGTTTCGTTGCTGAAAGGAACAGGAAAAGAGAAAATATATGACTGGTTGCAATCAATGCCCGTTAAGCTAGGAACTTACACTGATCACATCCAGTGCATCGTTTATTTTTTAATTATGCGATGCAGCAATAACTATCGTCTGTTATTTATTACGGTTCAGTTAGGTTTCGTCAATGAATGACTTTGTGATAAGAGTAGCTTTATTAGGTATAGACGATTGTACTAGCTGCAGTTACAAATAATAACCTAACGTTAAACGAAGAGAAGTTATTCAGTTGCAAGAAATTGTGGAAACTTTTTAGTGACCAGTTAGCGAAATTGTTACCCTGCCGTGCACGTAGACGCCTGGCTCGTGGCTTGAAACGCAAACACTTGGCATTCTTAAATCGGTTACGAAAAGCAAAAAAAGAAGCTTCAGTGCATGAAAAACCAGCCACAATCAAGACCCATTTACGTGATATGATTGTGTTACCCGAAATGGTTGGATCAGTTGTAGGGGTATACAACGGCAAAGTTTTTAATCAGGTAGGTTTTCTCCAAAAGTATTTTTTTGCGGTTTCTTTTATTTTTAAAACTTTTGGCCTGTGCATGTTTGTAGAAAACAGAAAGAGAGAAATGTAAGAAAGCAGTCTGTACAGTTATAATTTAGAATTATATATAAGGGTAATTCTGGTGTATGCACAATGCACTCTCTGTCATACTGTCCATTCGTATGAACTTTTTTTTAATTGTGCTATATAATGATACTGTACGAAAAACCCGTTTCGAATTGGATTATCGTCGAAGCTCAGTTGGTGCCAGTACATTTGCTACGACTACATTTTTCAAACATTGTTTTTATTTTGGCCTGCTAATCTGCTCTCATCCCTTTTTTTGACTTCCTCATGTACTTTACAATTTTCTGGATGGTTTATAAATTTTGTGGAAATGATTTTCAGGTCGAAATAAAGCCGGAAATGATTGGCTACTATCTGGGAGAATTCGCAATCACATACAAACCTGTGAAACATGGACGGCCAGGCATTGGTGCAACACATTCTTCCCGCTTTATTCCCCTCAAGTAATGGAAAATTTATTGTTATGGAGATGACTGATAAATGTTTTGTTTGACGATATTTTGTCAGCAGCAAGCAAAAAACAATTTATCTATAGCTTGATAGAAATAACATTCTGCCCTATCCCGATTTGCTTATATGACTCTAGCTAAATATACACATCATGTAACATCTGGTTCGTGAATTTTTGTGTGCTTTTGCTCATTCACGATGTTTCATGACTTAAAAAACTACAAAAGCAAAATTTGTTCACAAAACTACTGGGATTACTGCGTTCTACATAATCACAGGCCTCCAAAATCTTGAAATTCAATTTTGCTTAAAGTTTTTCCATAATTATTTCATCGTCAGGCTGATTTGTCCACCCTATATTCTTCATTGTTATTCAGAAATAATAAGTGACTACAAAAAAGTACCACCAAAACTACAGAATAATGCTAAACTTAAATGTAGTGGAATGAAAACACTGATAACACACAAAAATGATGTATACGACTAGGATTTACAAAAGTTAGATATATGTCTGCTATAATATAGAATCACAGATGGCTTGACTAATCAAAAGAACAATTAGATGAAGTTCGACACGACGGTTAAAACAACGATTTTTAACAGGAAATCGCATGATTGATATAGTGAACTGAATGAAAAAAAATTCTGAATTCATGTACACTTCTTTATAAACTAACGTGGACGACAGAAAAGACTGAATGGTCGGTTAGCAACTGATCTACAACACAAGAGTTTTTCTACGAGTAATAAGGAGGGATAGAAGCTACGGAATTATTTAGAAATCGGTGAAATTTCACAAGATTGGAATGTAATTATCAATCTTAGCTCGATGCCTCTGAGATATGCATTCTGCGATCCAAATGATATTTCTCATTTCTTGCTCTTTAAGCTTAATGAATGCATAGAATACACCGAAATGGAACTGATGCAGAAATGACAGAACGTTCAGTTTTACCTGAAACAAAATTTAGTTTAATGCTAATAATCCTATGAATAGTTGAAATGAGCTGGATCTCAAACATTACTCAAGCATGCCACTATAAGATAAGGATGTTGGGAACATCAGTTTGGTCTGTTTGAAAAAGATGCATGAATAACACTTATGGTACGAAACTCACTTCGTATTCTAAGAACTTGTCTTCAAGCGCCTTTTCTCCTGGTTGTAAACCAGATCCCTCAAAAAGCGCACGATAATCTGAATAATATTCACAAACTTGTTTAACTTGATCATAATCATCCGCCTTCGACAATCCAGCGAGCCCTTAATTGATAGCCAATATTAACAGGCTTCAGCAGTTCAATATCAAACGTTAAAGAACAGAAATCTAGATAGTGTTTTACCTTCAGGATAGAGTTTTCCACATCGTGGGTAAAGTTTGGCTCGATCATCTTTGGACAACTCGGTATCAAAACTGTTGATTGTTATTATGATAGCACGCCGGTCCGCCTCGAACTGCAAAAAAACATCCGTAAAAAACTAAACTTGACCTAAGACCATTCAGCTAATGTCGGAATAAATTTTAATATGGCAATTACGGAAGAAAGCATCAAATATGTTAAATATGAAAAGAAAAAACCATACCTTTGGTAGTTAAATTATTATATAATACTACAGTTTTAAGTATATGCATTCGTTTTAACATACCGCGAGAATTTCACTCATAACTTCCGCTGTTTTGCCTCCCAAATGTTTGCAAAATTTGTAGAAGTCTTCTAAATATGAGCGATATAAAGTATTACGTATTATTTCCACATTCATTTCATCCAAATCCTGTTCGTTGATACAGTCAACAAAATATGCTGCTGCAAAAGGAAAAATCAATGTTACTTTAAAGATTGATAAAAAAAAAAACTATTTTTAATGGAATCAATAAAAATGAAACAAATGTTTGAAATTCTGCAGAGTTCAAATCAGTATTATTTGGACAAAAAAAAAATGGAATTCCTTGTATCCTGGCATCACTTAAACCTTATGAATTATAATAACCCACTTGGAACTTGTGCAATCCATTAGCTCTAGGCCTCGAAGACTTCAAAATTTTATATAATCCAATGTGGAAAACATGATATATACCAGACCTCAAATATTACAGAGCTAAAAATCAAAGATGTTTCTTGCCTAGAGGAGTGTCCACAAGCACCGCATTATAAAGCTCAGCTGGTGTTGAAACGATATGTATAGCTTCCATTTGTTCAAAAGAACCAAGAGGATGACATTTTGAAATAAGTTCATTAATCGGTCGCTGATGCAAAGTACCCGTAATCAGCAAAATGATGTTGTCAATCATATATGAGTAGCTGAAACTAACTGTTTTCACCAAAAAAATCGAGGAGATGGCTAGGAAAAATCGTTAATATAAACAACCAATACAAATTCTATAACTGACGTTATATAATCCAGAAATGTGGACAATGGCTCCAGGGCATTGTTTCGAAAATGTGTAAATTCCGTTACCAACTTTTCTTTCAATCGCTCATCAATAACCTATAAACTTAAGGTGAAGCACAAGCAGAAAGATTAAGGTTATGTAGATTAGCTTATCTCTCCAGATAAATGTCAATGATTTTTGCGTAATCTATTAATTTACCTGAACTGTTATTGAGCCAGGTTCGTTGGCCAAAAAACTTCCGTAATCTGTCGACTGAATATGAAGTTTTAAATCTGAAAACTTCGTAAACTTTCTGGTAATTTTCATAAAGACTTTATGAATGTCATATCTCTTTCAACTAAGTTTGATATGTTCTGAAGATTAATAATTCACTATTATAAGCAACTTATTTCCAAAAGTCGCTCATAATAGTGAAGAAACTAAAGCTGTTTCATTCAAATTTTCTTGTAAATCACCAGAATTTTTAAAAATTGCTGCAACTTTATAAGAAAACTACCCTCAAGAGTTTCGCATTGGACAAGATTAGCATAATCGGTTTGTGTCAAAATACCTTCCTTGAATCCGCGAACCAAACCTTCTAAATAGCCGTGATCAATGTTAAAAAGATATTCGCCCATCTAAAAGGCAAAAAAAATCATTACCAAATAATTGAAAATTCTTGCTCACAAGTTTCAAGTGTTCAGAATATTAATAACATTTATTACTAACAAAAAAAAAGAAAACAAAAAATGATTTTACATCTTTTTTTTAAAAGAACACCTAAAGCAATGATACTATAGGATCAAAGTGAAACAAAACCTAACTGACCAAACAATTCATTTCCAATTCTTGCAAAAAGATCCCATTTGACCAGACCTTACCCAGACTAACCCTACCTAATCCCCTCACACCCATCCTCTTCCCTCGTGCACTCACTGATTACCAAAGATCAACTCCCACATCAGCGGCGATCGATCTTTCCACATTCACTGCAGGAAAGGGCGCAATTTTCAAAGTATGAGAAATCGTCAAATTTCAGTACACTCCGGGAAGTATTCCGTATGGATGTAAGCATAGCAGGGTGATGTCTGATAATAACTAATTGTTGACACTGTCACATGGCAGGACAGTGCAAACTAATGGCTGGATAGATGAATAGTTGTTGCATTATCAGTTCCAGCCGACACCCAACACATTTCACTGACTCACTGATCTTTTTTCCCTTTGCTTTCCTCTTCCATTAGCCAAACAAACAAGCATTTTTAATTGCTTTCATCCTCGAAATACTATACTGATAAGTAAATTTAAAAGTAGCGTTAGTAATGGTAGTAGTAGTATCGGTCAATATACTCTCGTTGGACGTGAGAGATCTAGGCGGAGACTGACCATCAACATGGCGCTGTTTACTGCTTTGATCAAATCAGTCATTTCCATTTCTGCCGAATTTCATCTCCTGTTGACACTATACATAATCTTGATAGACAGGAATAGAGACGGGAGGAAAACAAGGAGCAGATAAGTGTACTACTATGTAAAGTGTACTACTACGTATGTAATCGTATTGATCGATTTGTCATTTAATCACTTGTTGCCCGAACAGTTGTATTATGGGGGTATCTTCCCGGGTTTCTTATATTATTTAGATAATGATGGGAAATAAGAACTGTTGAAGGTGTTTAATGACGTAGCTGAATTCTTATTTATCAATTAAAAGTGATTTATGATTTCAGGAAATCGTTAAAAAGCTATATCTTGTAGAAGAAAACTTCATCAATCGCAAAATGGCTTAAATATTTGCACAATCATACAACAATATCGTTAAAGAAGACAAATTGACAGCAGTAATGAATGAGGCGGATGTTATGCTAGTTTATATACCCAACGGTGTCATAAAAAGCGTACGCTATAATTTCGAAATAAAAGTTCAGGTCAGCATTTTTTTTTATTGGAAAGTGCATGATTGTCATCTTTAAACTCAACAATTATTATTACTTGATTTTGTGGTTTAATTTAATAAGTGTTTGAAATAGAATAGTGAAAATCATTGATGAGACTTTGAGTTATTGTGTTTACTCATATTTTACTTGGCAATAGATCACTTATTATATATTTAATTGGAGAGTATTTTACAGAAAGTGATTCATGTTTTATTATCAGCACTGGGTATTGACCGGATATCTTTCGGATATTTTGCCCTTCGCTTAATCCGATCTCCGGTGACACAAATGTGTAGCAATAACAATGACTGCCACTGGTTGCATTCAGATCTTAAAATGCGGCATATTTATAAGAAATTTTTCAGTAAAAGTTCGAGTTCCATTCCGCTGCGGTAAATTTTCTTTACTTTGGTAGTTTCGAAGAATAAAATTTTGTTTTTCAATGAAGTTTTTTAAAAAATTTTTCTAATGGAATTAAATTCACAACTGAAGAATAGAGTAATGGTCATAAATTGTTTTTTGTACTATGTTTCCCTGTAACATATTCTACAATTATTGGGAATATTCCGAAAATATACTTCGGGATGTACTTCACTCTAATTTGTCTTTACACTACCGAGTTCTAGCTACATAGTTTTATTACTTTTCAAAGTTGAATTCCGACTTTTCTACTTTTCATTTAAGATTTGAATTGCGGTTGCGTTTCATATCGAAAGATCTTGAAGAAATGTACCAGACAGAAACAGGTGCGTTCATGTTTTTACACGATCAAATTCTGGCTGATTATGTAACTCAGGTTTGGCTTATATTTTTGCAAATTTTCGAAATTTTTCAGTAAAATCAGGGATTTATAGCAATTTATTGTTCGTCGTAAATATCGATTTAATCCTTTTTATTCAATTATGGAAAGATAAAATATGTAGTTTTTCAACTGTAACCGTTGACATCTACAACTATGACACTTTTTGATATATTTTTAATTTTTTTTTAATACTTTCTTAAACTAAACGCTCGTTTCAGGTTTCGTGGAAAATTCCTACCGAGACAGCCATTGAATTAGCTGCTTTACAGATACGTCGAAAGCTTGGAAATCAAAACGCGTAAATCAGTTTTCTTCCGAATTTTTTGTTTTTATGTTGGGCTTGTATAAACTTTTATAAGATATTACATTTTTAGGTGTAATATCGAAAAATATCTAAATTTGGATGAGCTTGAAGCCGAGGGAACTCTTGCGCGGCTATTGCCCGAAACTCTGCTTATTAATATGAAGGTTTGTTTCAACGTGTGATTAGAAATCAAGAGCAGCTTTTAAGTTCTTCCTCATTGGATCATATTTGTTGTAGAAAGAGATACTTTCTAGACGGCGTTAAATTGGGAGGTTTTCGAAAACATGGTAAAATAATATTTATATAGGATCAAAAAATTATGCCTATTTTTTTGCTTCGTTTGACTAGTGAATTAATTCTTGAGTCGATAAACTTTCGAGACTTGTTCCAAACTGAAATAGTCTATTTTTCTAGTCAAAAATGCTCAGGAAAACATTAACAGCTGCAGTGAAAAGACACGCATTGCTTACACCTACGGAATGTATTTTTCACTTCCTAGAAATTGTCAAACGAATAACGCAGTTTGATATTGAAATATTTAAAGCTTCTTTGGGTGTACGTTTTATTATTTCTTTAGTTATAATTATTGTTTTTTATATACCCTAAAAGACAAAACAAAACATAAAAGACAAGACTCTATTCCTGCGTAACTTCCAGAATTTCATTCATTTTTGTCTTCAAAATTCGTATGAAAACTATTTATGTAATGAACAGGTAATAATTTACAGATTGTTTGGAAGAATCCAGTAGATGTTATGGTAGGTATGGCTGTTGGCATTTCCTGCGCTGCAGATGGACGGGGACGAGGAGTATGAACTTTTATCTATAAACACTAATATTTTGTGTAGTTTCACTGCAAAGTATTTAGCCAGTGTAGTAATATCAGATAATAATTACTCTGTCCCAACTAATATCCATAGAAAAAGCATGTAGTGTCTCTATCTTACTGTGGTCATTATATTGTTAGCTATTTTTCTTCATTGTAGTAACTGAGAAGTTCTTTATCAACTGCGCAGCCACGAATTTGAATTAGACATTTATTCCCTTTATAGTTATACAGTTATTCTCTGGATTATAAAACAAAATTCGCTAGAGTTAGAATCTTTTATTGCAGATCATCTAACATATTGTATTTTATTTTCCGAAATTTTTACATTTGCTAAGTAATCTTCCAGTTTTATTAATCTTAACTCATTTTTAGTTTAATTGACCATTCATAATGCTCTCTAGTAATACGGATAAATCTGCTCTTTCGAAACTACTCCTTTACTTTCAGCCTGTCTTGTTGGCAAAATTGCAGTACATTATCAATTTGACGTTATTAAAATTGGACGAAAATTCACAAAAAACTGTAATTAATTTGAAAATAACCGGAAGTTCGCAGCAGCTGGTATTTCTTTCATTAATTAATTCTGAAATGTACTGGTGAATGAATTGCAGTAAAAATAATCCGAAAATTGCTACTGATTTACTTGTTGATCATGACAGATTTACGCTTAAATTTTTTTAGTCAATTATATTACCGACATGGTCGATTGCTGAGTCGCTAGCACACCTTATCAATGGTTATCACATGGTATTGTCGCAGCGAGGATCCATTTGGATCCCATCGGGTATAATTCTTTTTTGCCTTCTGCTTTGTCTTTTTTCTTAAGCTTTCAGAATTCACTCAACTTATTTCGTTGGTATAAATCAGGGAAGGCGTATTATCTGCTGCGTAATATTGGTAATTATTACATTTTTTTTAGAATTGTTGGATGAGCTAAAAAAGCAAGAAGTGAAAGTGACCTTTGTAAATGACGAATTGACATTTACACCTTCTAAAAGTAAGCTGCATAATGGATAATCAAAATCAATTCTCTCTTACTCTTAAGCATTATCTGTTTAAACTTTAAAAATATGTTACATTCAATCATAATTTATTAATTTTAGACACTAATCTTCTTGTGGACCGCTCACGAGTAACACTAGAAGAATTACTGGGCGATGGCCAGTTCGGCAATGTTTATAGAGGAACATTTATGAAAGAAGTTTGAAATTAATTAAAAAAATTTTTCTTAAATTCCTGTCATTTTTTTTTTGTTTTGTGCTACAATTGAATTATTTTCTCCAATAAACACTTTTAGAATGGTCAAATAGATGCAGTTGCTGTAAAAGTTTGTAAAATGGACTGTGAGATAGTGGAAAGGCAGAATTTTCTAGAAGAGGCTTGTAAGTCTGAAGATTATCCGAACTGAGATTATTTCGAAGTAAAAGTTGGAAATATTGCGGGAGATTATTAATCCCTTTTTCATGTGTCATGTCTATTATTAATTTAAAACCTTTTTTATATGTCATCGAAATCTCTTTAATCTCCAAACTAGTTTTTCTTAGTTTCATTACTCTAATTCCCACTTTTTGTAGTTATAATGCATCGGTTTCATCATGAACATATTATTGCATTGGTGGGAATTTGCATAGAAAAACCTATTTGGATTGTGATGGAATTGGCGCCGCTTGGCGAAGTATGTTAGTTGGAAGTTTTTTTAAAAATCTATTGTATTTTTATAAGTTAGAAATTTAAAGTGTCCCCATTGGATTCTGTTCTATTTAAGAACTTTCCTGTTGTTTCTGTCATATATTAAAAGAGTTGAATTACTGGGAGTCAAGTTAGAAGTTGCATTTTATAATATCGTTTCATCGCAGGTTTCTGTATCGCATTCTCATAGTAAAATCTTTATAACAATGCATCGAATGATCAAACGACTTGTTATTGATGCTATTTACATTATTATTTAAACAATTAACACTTCACAGCTGCGACAGTATTTGTTGCATAACACTGCGACAGTCGATTTATCCATTCAACTTCTCTTCAGTCAACAACTCAGTTCTGCGTTAGTTTATTTACATTCATGTAAATATGTTCATCGAGACATCGCTGCTCGTAATGTCCTCTTATCATCACCACGTTGCGTGAAGTTATCAGATTTCGGTCTAAGTCGTTGTGTTGAAGAAAATAACGTGTATACAGGTAGTTATTATTCGTTAATGCACTGGAAAAAACATCTTATCTTTCTCTTTTATTTATTCGTCTAAAAATTCTTCTTTTTTTTTTTGCTATTTTGACCTAATTTCCAAAATTAAACTTTTTGTTAAAAACTTTCTTTTTGTAGCATCTCGAGGAAAACTTCCGATAAAGTGGATGGCACCAGAATCAATTAATTACCGCTGTTTCAGTAAAGCGACGGATGTTTGGATGTTCGGTTTGGATTTAAGATTTAGATCTCTTATTTCCTAATTGGAACTTGGTATTTTCTATTGTTTTTTAGAGGAAAAATTATTGGTTATCTTTTGTCCATTACTGGTCATTTTGTAAATGAAATATTGCGTGTTTGAAATTTAAGTAGTTTCTTAACATTTCAGAACATTCAGTAGTTAAAAGGAAAGAGTTTTTTTTGTTTTGTTTGACTATAGCTCTTTATCTGAATCCTTTTTTTCGAATTAAAAAATGTTCCATGTCGGTTAGTCTTGAAAGTTGATTTCCGAAGGTTCATTTATTCAACATTTCCTCGAGAACTTGAGGCTAGTTGTTTCATCGAAGAATAGTGACCGTTTTGTTAAAGATGGATTTTGCGTCATTTTCTGATTTATCATAATTTTGACTTGAAACATTTACAAAAAGTTACAGGTGTTTGCATGTGGGAAATATTTACTTATGGCGTCAAGCCGTGGCAAGGTGTTCGTAATCATAATGTTATATTGAAAATTGAACGTGGTGAACGACTTGAAAAACCCCATAATTGCCCACAAGTCCTGTATAATTTACTAATGTGAGTTTTGTAGTTCATAGACACAAATTTTTTTTAGCTGTGTGTCTCCGTAATCCATTATTTTTTGTAGGCGTATGTGGAATTTTGAAGCTTTAAAAAGACCAACAATATTTGAAGTTAATCGTTATCTTGGTTTCCTTATGGTTCAAATTGATTGTCACGTTCCTTTCGGATTACTTACAGCACCTTCTGATAACGTAGGTTCCTAGTGCTGCATTTTCATTTTTTTTTTTTATGTCTGTTATTCATGTAAATTTTAAATGTATTTCCGTTATCAGGAAATCAATGCGTTGGCTCAAGAAGAAAATCAAACAAATGCTTTTCTAACGGTATTTTTCGTTTTGTTTTTAAATGTTTTTGAACTGAAGCTAGATCGAAATTTGATAAAAAAATATTTCTTTACTACATTTTCATTCAGTAATATTTTTTATCGATTCTCTTGTTTTATTAAGGTCGCACCGGTATTAAAAGTAGATTCCGCAACGGTGTCAACATCAATGTTGTGGCGTACACTAGAACAACAAAGAATTCAGTCGGAAGAGGACGATAGGTGGATTGAAGAGGAGGAAGAAAAACTTGTAATTTTTTCCAAGAATTTCTTAGAATTGTAACTTTTGAGGTCTGATATCTAAATTTAAAGAGCAAGAAAAAGAAAGAAACATATTTTACATCTTTGACATTTTATACATTGCCCGTGTGGATTTATAAAATCAAATTTTTATGAATCTCATACTTGGTAGGAATATGTCGATGCGAGATAACTTAAGTGCTGGATTTATGAACTCTTTCATACCACTATCCTGCAACAGAATAGAGTTATTGTTGAAGAATTTTTATCATTTTTTTAGAATTTTCGTCTTTTTAAAGTTCTTTCTATTTCGTATTCTAAAAATGGGAAATTTTTAGAAATAGTTGGAAAAAATTTTATAGTTACCAATGCCAGCACTTTCAACAGTTCGCGCGCAGCACATTAACTCGCTATCCAGAAAACAACCGTTGTTAAGTGAAGAAACGGACATGCCACCAGGTTATGAATTCGACCGTCGCAATGATACGGTGCATGGAGCTGTCCTTAGAGTGATTGGTGCCGTAACAGATTTATCCAGAGAGTTCCGTACGACAATGACAAATGGATATTTCAGCAAATGTGTTAAAGTATGTTCAATCTTGTATCACTCCATTTTATTTATATGTCGCAATTACAAGTACACATTGGATGGGAACCTGATTATGTAACATTCATAAATACGTCTACATTATTTGCATTAATAGCACATCGTTGCATGCTATAAGCATATTAATAACCGGTATTGTGTGTAACACATGCAGTTATATGTTATGAGAGGTTTTTTAATCACAAAATTAAGTGAAATTTCGTTAAGGGAACTACCAATTTTCAAAAAAAAAAAAAAAAATGGTCTGTTGAGTACCGTAAACCCAAGCAAATGATGTGTGTAATTTGTATCTTAGAGTCCATTAATTAGTTGAGATGTTACAGATTATTACGGATCATTTGGCGAATTTATTCAATGAATCTGTCCAACACATATCAATTTTAAACAGTTCTGATCAGGAGAAAGTAAAACTTGTTGAAACACTTTTGGAATCAGATTTGCGTAATCTCTCGGAAGTCATGAGAAAAATTTTGGAAGAGGATGTTAGCAAAGTAAAGCTTAAAATTATTTTGCTAGGTTTCATTTACTTTATAAATTATTTTCATTTCCTATTAATTAAACTGCTGTGCTATGGAGAAATTATATGATTCGTTAATATTATCTAATTTAACGAAGTAGTTCCTGTTTATTCCAACTTCTGATCCCGTTTACGGATTAAATACACTAGTGTGGAGAGATTTCAGGAAGATTACGAAGCACTAAGAAGAGAAATACTGAAGATAAGTCATCGTTTAGCATTTAATTGTAAACAATTTTTGGAAACAATTGACAGTGCACGTATTCGAAGTGGCGTTGCGAAGTTACAGCTGAAAGATGCTTCATCTGTAGTGTATGAAATATAAATTTTGATGTGCTCTAAAAAAATTATTTGATATCAGAAGTCTTGAAAAACAGGGTTGGATTGATATCATTTATAAAATAGAATGTAAATTAAAAAAAATGGAAAAAACGAATTTCGACCTCTTCTACGTTCTTTGTCTTTCTTTTGGGTGTTATTTTTTTTATGCAACCTCCAATGACCCTTTCAGGTTCTTGATCTAACTGCATTATACTGCTTTAATTTGTTTGTTTTGTTTTAACTGATGCTTAAGCAGTTTATATTTTAAGCGGGTAATATTGTAATTTTGAAGAGAGATGTCTTTTTTGTATTTAATAATTAAGTCTCAAACATAACTATAAGAATACTTATTTTTATTTAAATAAAGTTCTGTCATTTGATATGGATATGTCTCACAATGACAGATTGTTTCTTTTTTTCCATATTATTCACTAAGGATTAATCGAAGCACACAAACGTGCGAATGGAACTCAGAGATTTCGCTGCGACTTCTACCAATAAACTTTGCTGGTGCAAAAATGTTTTTTTTCTTTTACTTTATAAGCAAAAATGCAGTAGAGTAACATAACAAGAATGAATAAGTAAAGAATAATTAACTCGAGATCCTTAAAATAATATTTCTGTTGGAAACTAATATTTTTTACATTGATGATTAATGCATGGTGTAATCGTGTTCTCTAGGTTGATTCAGACAAAAGGAATTTCATGGCTATTACTGCAACTGTAACTGCAATTTTACTAGATGGAGCCTAAAAAACGATACATTATTACGTATCCAATGGTAAGATGGGACTGATTAATTTAATATATATATGTAAATATACAAGTAATGACATGAAATGGAGATGTGAAACAACGTAGAAGAAGCAGTTGAGCTGTCCTGCAGAAAAGAGAAACCACTCGAAACTTTTTCTATCAAATGATTGCCATCAAAATGCCATCCTCATCATCTCATTTACTTTCATCGACTCAAAACAGCCAATACCGCGGAACTTGTCGTGTTGTCATTACTACTTCTTCAAATATCTAAAGGGGACACACCCCACCTTCGACTTACACTTCACTTCTGTTTCCTGTAAGTACATCATGCGTCAGTAACTTGGAATTTCTGCTGGTTAAACCATTGGTCTTTGTATTTGACAAAGACGTTTTCCTGGCTGGAATAGTTCCCGCAGTGATCTAAAGTGTGTCTTACTCTGAAACTCATCGTCAGAAATTGCTATTTTCACTTGTAGAAGCGAATACATTGCACATTTGTCAATCCACAATATTCTAGTCGCAAGACAAGTTTGTTTTCCATTCTCGGAAAGCGATTTCATCTAAGATCTGAGAAGAATGCTATTATTATTTATATCATGTTCCATCTTACCCTGTAATACCGTAGCAGACTTAGCTCAGGAATTTCTGAACCCATGTGCTGATGCACCATCAGTGTCTGCACGAGTAATTTGCAATCAACTGCATGAATGGGACAGACAAGCTCGGGTAGGTTAATTTTATCGATGAATGAAAAAGAGAAATTCAAGAAAATTTGATTTTTTTTAAAGTATGAAAATTTGCAAAAAGGATTTGAATTTCTCGTAACTGAATATTTTCTAAAGCTTTTAAAATATAAAAGTTAAATTAGCTTAGTCCTCAAACTATAGGCCAAACCACCGGTGGGATCATTTGCGGTATCGCCACCTGCTATACCAGGAAGAAGTCGAATGATCGCAGCACAGCTTGCACCGATTACTTCCACTCCTTACCAATGCTTGGATCTCGAATGCCTTTGTATATATTTAAGGGGTAATTGATTTCTTGACCTCATTACAATCTGGAGATTATTCATTATTCAAACAAATACCAAATTGTTCCTGTTTGTGCTAACTTACTTTTTCAGGTGAAGAGACAGGTGTATCTGGAAGCTAGTGATTTTTGATACTGAATAATGGACTAACCTTTCAATAAAAAAAGCATGGAATTTTAAAATTCCTGAGTTATTACTTGTCTCACTGACATAATCTCGCTGTTAAAAACAAGAATGATAATGAAATAGCAATATTCTGCTGAAAAACTTTTTTCAGATTACAAGAAAATTTTGTAGTGATTACCAAATTTCCCCGTTTGTGCTAATTTACTTCTTCGGGCAAAGAGACAGGCGTATCTGAAAGCTAATGATTTTTGGTATTAAAAATTTTTTTCGGATTATAAAATTTTACGAAGATCTTTAATTCAAAAATATTTTTACCAAAAATCTAAACTTCATACTTAAAAATTTGCTGACAGCCAACCTGAACATAACTGATGGAACAATGGAAAAATCGATAAAGTAAAACTGCATTAAAAAAAGAGAAAAATAAGAATATTAATAAAAATAAGGAATATAATCATAAACTTAATATCATGCTAATTATAAATTCCGTTTTATTAGTATTATGTTTAATCTCATCAGTTATTTACTATAACGTAGATGTTTACAGCTTAATTTCAATTAAGTTAAAAAGTTAATATATAACTTTTGTTGATCTTATTCACTAGTTGAAAATGCTGCTGTATTTTCGTATGAAATAAAATTGCTTCAGGAATTTAAATTGGTTTATAGCATGAAAGAGATTGATAATTACTTTGATGAAATTACCAATTTTTCCATCGAATTAAGAAAAATAAGCGACTTCCTATTCATAATTACTGGGACTTTAATGGCAGGTCAGACACAAGTTAATGGAATGTGCTACTTACCGGATGGTTCAAGATTAACAAAAGCTACCAGGAAAGAATACCGCATGCTAACCGATCAGGAACGGAAGAGATTCCACAATGCTTTAATACAACTGAAACGTTCTGGTGAATATGATAAATTGGCGTTGATTCATGGTCGTGCAGCAGTTAGTGGTGGTGCACATTCTGGACCTGCATTTCTACCATGGCATCGAGAATTTATTAAAAGGTACACTTCATTTTATTACTTTATGATAATTTTTTCTACAAATTATTTCTCTGTTGAATTAATAAACATTTCTTCTTTGCGAAAAGATTTGAGATCGCTCTCCGACAAATTGACCCTTCCGTTTCTATTCCATACTGGGACTCAGTTCTGGATAGCGGATTACCGAATCCGCAAGATTCAGTGTTGTGGACAAACGAATTGATGGGCACAACCGATGCAAGAGGAGCTGTGACTGGAGGAGATTTCGCTAATTTTGTCACATTTGAGGTTTCAGTTTACTTCCTGTTTGGTTTCGTTTCCTATCATCAATCATGAAATACTGGCAAGTAGCGAACAGTACTGCATGCTTATTTAATTAACTGAATTAGTTTTTTTTCCCCATTTGGTGGCAAAAGGTATTCATTTTCCATTTAATACCGTTTGATTCGAATCTCAATTTGAAATATGAAGTAAAAAACAGAAACATCCAAACATAAGGCGTCAAATTGGAAAACAAGGATCACCATTCAAGCAGTCAGATCTGAATTGGTTCCTGCAGCAAAATCGGATGGAAAACGTTCTCGCATTTACCGCTCCTAGACAGGTATTACTTCTGAAAGCATTTTTGGTGCAATTCTAATATACATATAGTTTATTACTTACTTAAGATTTTCAAACGATTATTCCTGTAATTGAAGTTATTACTTTCAGTGGCTACCTTTCCAGTCATGATGACCAGTACTCCTGTAATAAATGATATCTGGAAATTGATTCATATCGAAAATTAGTAGCTGGCACTTATTTTGTTGAAGGGTTGTCAATATCGCGCCAACTACAACGCCTTGGAATATACACACGGTAATGTTCACATTTTCGTTGGTGGTGATATGTACGATCCGTATACATCCGGAAACGATCCGTTGTTCTACCTACATCATTCATTCGTCGATTATATATGGGAGATGTACAGGCAACAAAAACAGGTTCAATTCAAAAACAGCTATAATTTTGCAATTTAAAAAAGAAATTCTAGGATGGAACTTAATTTTAAGCCTTCTTTGCTTCAACTTTATCTGATGATTTTGAAAACCAAAATTGTTACAGGGAAGCTATAAATGATTACTTTCCAGACACGATATCAACGTGAAAATGATTACTCACCTGATAATCAGGCATGCAGTAGCGCACTACATTTCGGTTCCACGTTGATGAGGCCTTTTATTCCACTACGAAACATTGATGGTTTAAGCAATGCCTATACTGATAATCTATATGAGTATGCACCAAGGCCAACTTGTCGAAATGGACCAAAGTGTGGATCAAAGTAAGTAAGATTATAATTAGTAAAAACATATTCTTGTGGTGACAGAACTTGCTGAAGAAAAAGAAAATTCCTCATCGGTGTGACAACGTTATCACTAATTTTATTAGGCTGACTCCAAAAATATTTGCTTGATAATGCACATATGTTAGTCACTTAAAAGAACAATGGTGCACATGTAATAGAAGCAAGAGATAAGCAATGTGTATTCAGTAATATCCACTACATTTCTAGGATGTCTTAAATTTATACCTGAAGAAAATACCTGAAATTTATCTTTAACTCTTATATGTGAAAGAGAATATTTCTAAACTGTTTACAATTAGATATCTATTTTGTGACCGATCCCACGGACAACCTCATTGCGTATCCCAGGCTCGAATAGGTGGACGTTGCTCTGGATTTGTGAGGGGTGAACAGGTGTGTCATGATGGAATATGTATTGGAGGACGATGTGTTGCCACTCGTTCCTCTTCGGTATGTTGAAACGTTCAAAAATTTCAAAATAAGGCCATCATATTTCAATTATTGCTAATTCACTAACTTTATTACTCCAAAAAATCTTCGTAGCGGTCTTCGTCACTTCCATCAGTCCCAAATGACGAAGTAATGTAATGAATGATCAGCACTTCAGATTCTGCCGGTCACACCACCGCTTATTTCTGTGCCAGCAAAACAAACATCGGTTGTATCGATAAATGCAGATTGCTATAACGAGAATGAATGTTGTCAATACTGGGCACAACGAGGCGAATGTGATCGAAACAAGGGTTACATGCACGAATGGTGTAAAGTTTCGTGTCGAGTTTGTCAACCTAATTTCAACCCTAACATCGGTTTGTTCTCTTTACAGTGCTTTTCGTAGTCTTTTCGACAAAATTTGTTTAAATTCCTAACTTCTCAAAGTGGAATATATCTTATGAATACATTCACGAGTTCATTTCTTTTCATCATTGAATTATAATAAACAAAATAAAATATACCAAGATGATAGCTTCAATACTTGTCGCAATATCTTAATAGTTTTTGTACATAGGATTATAGCTACAAGTTTTTGTGTATAGAATCATAGCTGCAGTTGCTTGAATTACACTTTTCTGTAGATAATGAGATTGAAAGCGGAAATTTTGAAAGTTGACTGATTCCATTCTCAATGAAAAAATTTTGAGAAAATAATTTATACATTTCATTTAACAGTAGCATAAATAATGTAACGTAGTAAGTGGACAATTTAAATTTATTAAATTTAAATTAAAGAATGCTCAAATCATCACGAGAATTGTGAGCGTTGGGCAAGAAGCGGTGAATGCTTAAGGAACACTAAATGGATGAGAGAAAATTGTCGACAAAGTTGTCGTCATTGTAATCGAACAAGAGCACAAATTTGTAGTGGCGGTCGTCATGATGGTGATTGAATAGCTTAAAAGCTTTTCTTTTTTTTCATAAATTTTATTTTTCAGAATAGCTAAAGTTTATTTGAAAAGAGTTCTCAACTTTTTACTTCAATTTAACCTCTTATTTTTTTATCCCTCAAGTACTTAAATTTATCTATTTTTCATATTAACCTATATAGTATCTTCTTTTTGCTTGAACTACAAATATCATACGCAAAGTTCCTTAAAAGTTTATGTTTGAAAAGACATACATGTACTTACATGCTTATCTTTAGTGAAAGCAACACATCGACCACAACCTGAAAAGACAAGTCTACTTCACTGCAATTCACCTGGATGTTACAATGAGAATGTCTGTTGTCCACTATGGGGTTTACAAGGACAGTGCACGCGGAATTTCACCTGGGTAGCGTGCAACTGCAAAGTGAGTTGCGGTCTATGCATTCCAGTTGATTACGATTATGGAAGTAAGTTCTGTTGTTAAGATAATATGCAAATCTTGCGCAACATTTAATATTTCGGAATATCTTTACATACGGATATTCTTTTTTCACGTCATATATTTCAGCTTCTGAATTGCATTAATGGTTACTAAATGTTCATTATATTTAGTAACTGTAAATATAAGACCAATTGTAGTGGTTAAAAAAGAATTACCGCTAAAAAAGTCAGAAATTTAGTTGAATTTTCTGCCAGAGGCTCACAAAAATCTTATTTATATGATGTATCAGTATGAGAGCAATGACATTTCTTGAATTTGTCTCTGGAATTTCAAGAAAATTAAAAATTTCACATTTTTAATAAGCTATTCTTCTAAATTTAATTGAATTCTTGCAAAAAGACCAATTTATTTCACAAGAAATGAATTTACTCTTTCAGAATATTATTTTATTGCTATTATTTTATTGCTTTTATTTTATTGCTTTCAGCGTGTAATGATTATCATCGTAGTTGTCCAGATTGGGCAGCACGAGGTGAATGTAGCATAAATGCTTGGATGCTGGAAAACTGTCGACGTTCGTGTCGTTCATGTTTGGATCAGTGGCAATTACGTCAAAGATGTCGTATTAATTCTGATTTATCTTTCAGTCATACACCAAATTTTGTTCCGACTATGATCGATGATTTTTATTATGATATCCTATAAGCCTGTTCTTATCAATAAAATGAATTATTTTTGCCATATTAAGAAAATAATTAATACTGGGCTAGTTTTGATCATGGAACTAAAATGCTTGATCATGAGACTTCGAGACTATCAATTTGACTTCATAGTCTCGAGAGTAAATTTTAAATGAAACTTTACCTGGAATAATCAGTCAGAAATGGTTACGAACCAATTAGCAACTATCAAATCAAAATTTGAGTAAAGTTTTGCAATAGCCCTTTTAAGTAAGGGCATGGTAGAGGAAGCCATAATAACCATTTCTTTTGCTAATAGTTAAATTGTCCTTTACAAGATATGTATCTAATAAACTTGTAATTAATGTTGAGTAAATTATTCATTTGAGAAAACTTTGGTGTAAGCAAATAGATAAAATATATTAACTGTTAAAAACTTCCCGTTCATATATGTTTATCTTTTTCCCGTAGTTTCGAAATTTTTAGTCAAAATTTGATTTTAAATTTTATTCTGCGAAACATTTATCATTTTGGCGACTTTTTTCTTTGACTTTTGCAGAATAAAGTTTAAAGAAACAGTGCGACAAACACTTCGATGAAAAAAATAATAAATTGCAAACATTTTTTAAATATGGGATTTTCGACTCGTTCATTTCATTATAGATTTTATTTGTGTGATTTCATTATTCAGAAGTGATCGATCAATTAGTGCCTACTGCGTAATCAAAGCTTGCATTTGCACTTACCTAATGATGGCTGATTCTTGGTTATTATAATTAAGCACTCATTCAGTTTAAAAGACAAACATTATTAGCATTACAGGATGATTTTCAACTTGAAGGTTTTCACTTGAAGTTTATCCAGTCTTCCAATATAATATTCTGTTCCAATGTTCTAGAAAAGTTATTGAGTCTGTTTCTTTTTTTCTCATAAGTAAGTTGAATGTGCTATCACTGAAAATATGAATGCTGTACTTGTGAAGATGAAAAATTTCAAGCATCAAGTGATAACAGCAAGAAAAATAAAATAATATGATCAAAGTTTTGAATACTTTTGTTTCATCAAAGTGATGTGTGCTAAGTAGCTGTGTCATGCAAATGTATCACTAGAGTGACACATTCAATTAGTCATTTATCAGATTACAAACAAATATACATATACATATTAACAATTTATTTTATGCAATTTAAGCTTTTTATGGCTAGTGAATTTAATATAATATGCAGTTCGGCAGAACCACTTTCCTCTATGTATAAAAAGTAAAAATTGCAATAAAAGTTTCTGTTAAATTTCTTTCAACTTATTTTTTATAAGAAATGCGTTTCGATTTCAAATAGAGATTACTTTATTCTCTAACCAATAATTATTGTCAAGTATAATTATGAATGCCATAGAAACATTTATTAGAATTTGAAGGCATTGTACGAAGAGACGAAAACGAGGCGAAAGGAAATGTGAAATCGGGTGACAACGATTATTTTTTGTTCCCTTCGAGATTTTTACAAATTTCAAATAGAACAGTCAACCACTAGTACTAATACATTCTCTGTCTTTCTTCTTTTTCTTTGTTTCATTTGGTTATTATTATGATCATTAGCCAATTCACAAATATCGTTTGAAAGAATTAATACGACGTAGTTGAGTAACTGTCATTACCGCCTCTGCGGTAGGCACAAATGCATTCAAGGTTATCATACGAAGAGAGAGAGGGAGAGGGAGAGAGAGATAAGTAGAAGATGAAAAAGATAGAAGGATAGATTTTATAGTCATTAAAAAAGTCTTTTATTTCAAAATTTTGCTAAATATTAAAAAAAAAAGAATGAAGCAACTTGTCAAATCTTATCAGCTATATGCTAACATGCAAGCCTAAGATACATTCATAATTTTATTTTAAATGCTTAAAATAACCTTTTAATAAAAAGAAGAAAACAAAATTTCAAAAATACCGAACTACCGCCTTAGAAGTGCAAATACCGAGCATCTTTTTAAAATATTTTATGTTTAAATATATTTAAATAAGAAATATCTACTCGATGACATATTCTTTGTGCAGCATTTAGGTATGAATAAATGTGAGACTTTAAGTGGAATATTTTCATGAAATTCACTACCGCCATGGTTTACGGGAGATTTCAGGAAGGAAATGATTCTCAATGCTAACTTTATTCGCTCTAACAAGTTAATGTTTATTTAAATTTAAAAAAAAAAATCGGAAATTTGTAACGTAAAAATAATCAAAGAAAAAGCAATTAGTTTCTTTTTCTACTTTTAAACAAGCTAATAAACTTTTCAATCTTTTTAATCTCTTTATAAGCATATATATAATTGTTTTCTTCATCAACTAATTCCTGCAATAACTTCTGAACTTAGAATGGTAAAGTTTTTATTTCATAATTTAAGTCTAATAATTTAAAAAATTAGAACTATTGCTATGAAGTATTTAGAGAAAACGAATAGATTTCTTGCGCTGATAATTTGGGCATTTTAAATTCTTTATGATTATTAGAAGAAAGTGTAAATAAATTGTACACAGAAAATATTTCTGACTTTTAGTTTTTCAAGAAAATTGGTTAAGCTTTGTAGTTTATTACACTTTCTCTTTTTATAGACAACAGCCAAAATCTTTTTATCATTGGAAAAAGAAAAAAAGTGATTTCTTACGTATATGTTTAATTAACCTGCTACTTATTTCCTTAACGACAATCCTCATTTATGATAGATCTATGCTGAAATTGAACTCATATTGAATTAATTAAGAACTGACCAATTAAATCGTAAACGACGATAATTTATAAATATTATCACTGCCTTTATTGCAATACATAGGATGAAAGAGTGATGTGATGTAGTGATAATTGTTAATTGAAGCAAGCAGTTGCGTGAAGCAATGAATCATCTGTTCAAAGTATGAGAGAATGAAATCTTAAATTCTTCATTTTCCTTCTACCTTTCAATCTCTTCTTCTCATCCATGCTGTTTGCTTGATAAGCTTTTCATTTTTGTTATCACAAGTTTCCCTTCAGTTCTGCTTCTTTCTCCTGATTAACACATCTGACAGCTCTTGTTTTGCAGGATTGAGAAACAAGGAGATGGGAAGGAGACCCTTTTAGCATTTCCGGTCTCCTTTTAGCTCTCTTTTGAATTATTCCGAAAGTAGTTTAGCTGCAGTAAAATTTTCAGTTTCACAGAAATACACTTCTGAATTCTTTGTCAATATTTAAATTTCTTGTTCTATCACAACGAGAGAAATAAGTGCATTTTAATTTCTTGATCTGAAATTTTAAAACTTTCTATCATTTCATATTTTGGAATAAATTTTATTCCTATCTTAAATAAAATACGTATATATTTAATTATTTCGGTCGTTTCTTCACTCAATAATTCATTTATTATTAATCGATCCCAATCCATTCATTCTGCGGGAAATTTAAATAAAAACAATTTGATGAAAACTAAATTGTACGAATGAATTTTTTTCGTAGTTAAAATATGCTATTACAGCAACGAAAGTAAAAACTTCGAGAGTATTAATGAAACGATACGGTGGACGTATTAATAACAACGTTGTTCAATTTACCTGAGAAAAAAGTGTTCGTCTGTTAGTTGCTCGATTTGTTATTATGTCATTTACGAATTTCTAAAAAGAGAAGCAAATTTTGAAATTTGTTTTGTCATTTTTTAAAAGTGAAATTTAACAGTGATTGATAAATTTTTTTAGAAAATTTAAAACGAAATTGAGGCTGCGTCACAGATGATTAATGTTGAATATGAATTAAGTTGAGAGTTAGTTGATTTCAAATTCTTTTTTTTTTTTTTTTTGTTTGTTTTGAAATTAGTTGTTTGATTCATTTTTTTTTCTCAGAAACGACAAAAGAACTTTGGGAATTCATCGTTTCTGTTAAAGATTATTCGAACAGTATGGCTTGTAATGAAATGAGTGATAAAGTGAATGTCTCCAGAAAGAAGAAAGTGATACTTAGCAGCCTGATCAGTTAGTAATTCTTTTAAGTGACAATCCTAATGGTAAAAAATGTTGATATGATTTAAAACATCTTCAAAAGCATCTTCGACAAAAAATACTTACAAGTGAAATATGTTCCCAAAATTATCCAATTCCTCCAATTTATAAATATGAAAACAATTTAAAGATTGCGTAGTTTTGATTGATCCTTAAAATTTTGAATCACACCAAATGAATTAATTAAAAATCAAGAAAAAATTTTTTTGTTCTTATTTTATAATTCACAAAATGTTCTTTTATTAAAATTCAAATTGGATCACTGTTACTTCATAATGGTAAATTTTTTACCTGCACTTATTAGAGTGATGACCAGTTTTGTTTACTTTACAATCAAACAACTCTCAACTGGTTAATTTCTGAAATATGAAATTTATATCTCAAACGTGAAATTTTTAATTTTTTGTAATTTGTGGCAAAAGAAAAAACTGATTGTACTCTTCTGATGTACCAGAGGAAAAAGATAGGCAATAAATGGGTAATTATAGTTCGACAGAAACTCTTCCATCTCTCCTAAATTTAATTTTTTGAACTACTGCTATTTAATAGTATATTCACGGCAACATAAAACGATAGATTTAACGCAAAGTTTTAAATTCCTACTTCTAACGTTTGACTTTAAAAGAAAAAAACGAATTTTTATGCTAGTTCATTTATTTGTTAGTTTAAAATCATGTCAAGCATTTTCTTTTTTAATCTATATTGAATACTATTTCATTATGAAAACATTTTTATTTCATCATGACAAACTTTTTCCGTGAGAACTTTTGAAGGAGAGGATGAACTACAAATAATCCACATGATAGAATCATCTTATCAGTGTTAGCTAATGCATACTTTATGTTTCAGCGCTTCATAATCAGATGAAATAAATAGCTTCCATATTACCCAGTCAGTCTAATCAGTTAGCACTTAAAAAAAGTATTCTTCTCTTTTTCAAAACTATCACTGCTAATATCCATCCACTTTCATGCGTAGAAGACCCATGAACTCATTCTTATCTGCTC